CTGCTTCCTAGGCCTCGACCATCGCCGCCAGCTCGGCGCTGAACTCGAGCGGCTCCGCAGGGGCCTTGGATCGGGCTCGTAGCAACGAGCTTTCGACATCCCTTGAAGGCACCGGACACCGGACACGCCGCACAGCTTCCCTTTTGTCCTCTGATGTTTGCTTGTTTTTTTCCGGTTTGGGTTGGATCTTTAGAAGTGTTTGCTTTTTGGGAAATCAAGGATTTTACACTTTAGAGGGGTCAACAGCAACCGAGACACCTCGTGCAAGGGGATGATGTAATCAGCTGCTGATCTTTTGGCTGGAATCAATCTTTACAAGGGACCCTGTTTGGCGGCAATCGTTCTTTTTGGCTGCGGTCCATGTGAGCCGTTATTTGGAAACTGCGTCAGCCACAGGATTTGCGGACACCCATGTTTTTCACACCGGGAAAATGGCAGGCTCTGCTTGTCGGGGTGGAAATAAGAGTCACTTTGGACCGTGTTTTCCACTCAGGATTTCGCGCTGTTGCCGGACAAGAAAGCGGACAAGGCCCGTTGCTCCGTTGGGGGGCTTCATCCAATTTTGTTCGGGGGTTCCTTCAAAAGGAAGATCGTCTCCAGGATCCCCTGTCAGGCTCCATGTTAATTGGTGGGCGGGTATCCCAGTTGAATTTCATCCATTCCAAGTGACAATTTGGTCCATCCTCGAGCCTTCGGAGCTCCCGGATGCGGGGGAGATGGTCATCCATTTAGAGCCATCCATGGGGGGCAAAGAGCAATGGTTGAATTATTGTGATCTCAACTGGGGGTCACGTCCCAAAGGAAACTCTTCGGCTGTTTGCTTGTTGTCAGTTGAATCTTTTGTTTGCGAAATTGACGAGCGGAATTCCGTTGAATAGAGTTTGCAATCGCTGGAGTACGAAGTGCAGTATGTTCAGACTTGCACTGAAGGCATCAAGCCCGGCTCACTCGAAAAACAACCTCGCACTTTCACCAATTTGGGTTCAACACGAGGCAAACCACGCAACGGTGATTTGGGTGTGTCTATCAGTCAGTTACCGCTTGGCCCGTTTCATCGAGTGCCTCAATTTTCCTCCGGGAAGTGGTTCTGGCGGCTGCGCTTCGTGTGGGAAGGCCGTGCAGAAACCCGAGCCGGTGCCAAAAAGGAGACATATTGGGCATGATTTGGAGGATCCCTGGTGCGTCGGGTGATTTGCGGATGTTTCCTTCTTCTTCTTTTTTTTTTTGGGGGGGGGGCGGTTGCTGGATTTTTCTCTGTGGATGGAACCCAAAGAGCCAACCAGGCAGTTTCCTGTTGGTTTTCCTGTAGCGCTACAAAACCCAAAGCAGTACCAACTCCAAACGAGCGGCAAGATGCGGGGGTTTTCTTGGGTTCCCTTTCAAACCACCCCTCCTCCACAAAAACAAAGCAAGGGCACCTCCAAACAAAGAGCAAAAAGCGCGTTCCTGGGGTCCCTTAGGTTTGAAACCAACAAAACCAGCAAAAAAACACACACACACACACATCTTGGTTTCCTTTTGGTTTTCCCCACGCAAAGCACGGGAAAAATACGGGGGCGCCTCCAAAAAACCGGAGGCTTCCCCTCGCTGTTGGCGTTGTTGCAGGCGCTGAAGAAGGAGACGGAGCTGCCCGCTCTGAAGCTGCTCGCTTTGGATCTGGGGGAGTTTGGTTTTCCATGTGAGCGACGTTCTAAAACCCCTGCACTTGAAAGTGGTATTCGGGAGGCAATATCGTTTTCAAAATGTTGACTTTTCCCAGGTCCCGAAAGCGCCGCGCAAGGTTCGCGGAAGGGGTTTCTCGATTATGTACTCGCAGAAGCTTCGCGGAAGGGCCACGATTGAAATGAAAGCAAGAAGTTGTAGTTTTCCTTTACGCGCGGAAGCGAAGACAAACTTCAATCCAGTTTCTCAATCCGCGGAAGCGACGCGGAAGCGATTCCCTCTTCAAACCTCTTGCGGAAGGAACCTTTCACGCCGCGTAAGCTCCGCGGAAGCCTTCGCGGAAGGGATTTGATATTTCTCTTCGGCCGCAACTGGGTTTGGAACACTGCTCATGTGGCTGGGGTGACTTAGGATGCATTTTACATGTTACCAGTGACTCAAACGGAAGCAAACAATAGAATATACATTCTATAACTGGGCCTAAGTCTATCATGGTGGTTTTGGAGGGGACAAGTAATTACACCAGGGCTTCATTTTTGTTGGTTTTGGTGTTACTTCTCCTTGCAATATCAGCCAAAAGGGGAAACAAGCTAGAACTCGTTGCTCCCTTGTGTCACAAACCAGACCCCGTTGCTCCCTTGTGCCTCCTTCAGGCGAGACCCCTTGCAAATCACCCAACCAGCGGGGCTAAAAGGTTTTTGTTTTTTTTCCCCGTGCAGAGCACACTGGAGGTCTGGAAGGGGATGTGTCATGTTTGTTTGTTGCCTGCTTGTTTGTTTGTGCACTTGGGCCAGTCGAATGGCTGTGGGTCAAAACCAATGGGATCCCATTTTCGGGTGGGTGAATTCCCCGCCCATCTCAGCCTATTTTGGTGGGGATTGAACCGGATGTTCCCTGAAAGTCCGGGCTACCCATGTGCCAAATGACCTCCGGCAATTTCGGGGAAACCGCCCTGCAGTCTTTGGAGGTCCGGGTCCCGTGGTCCCACATCGGGGACGTCCAGCGAGAGAAGCAGCTTCGACACCCGCGAAAGAAGCAGCCTTGAAGCTTGGCGAGCTCGGCCATACCTTTGGACCCTTTTTTCTTTTTCCAAGTCCAGAGGGATTTATTTGGCAGGGGTGTGGCTTAAAATTAAAGAGCCAGGGTTACGCATGTTTTAGTCTTTGGTTCCATCTGCCAGGGCCATTTTGGTACATTTTTTTGAGCCGCAGCCATGTCCCACAGCTGACTTTTCGCCAGGGATCCACGAGTCACTAAGGAAAGAAGCAGCGTTGATGCGCCGAGCCCCACCAGCGTGGCGAGCAAAGCGGGAGTAACACCCGAGGCGTGGGGGTGGCTGGCTTGGGCGATGTTCAATGGGACTGGCTTCGCTTAGATGAATCGCGCCCAAACCTATCCAGCCGTACCCAGGAATCCTTCTCAGAAAATGCACAAAATTGAGGATTGGCTTGTTTTTGAGCGTCGAGAACGTGGAAACAAACCTAATTAGTCACTACCCAGCCAAAAGACACTATGACTTGTTGGTGTGCCCCCCTCAAATGGGGACCCATGAGCAAACTCGGAGCAAAACATGTTTTGGATTCTCTTAGCAGTGTCTCACTTCCCGAGTTTATGGACTAGATATTTTTTGGGAAGCCATATTTTAGCGGTAAATAATCAGTCTCGTTCCTTTTTTGGGCCATCCACTCGATCGGAAGTGAGTATTGCTCCCATACTTATTTATTTTCCCATTTGTTTGTGGAGCTTCCTTCTGAGCTATGCCCGCCTTGGAGAGTTCTCTCAAATTAAGCCAATGACAACATGGTCTCTGAAGATAGGGATCTGGTAAAATGGCAACAGCTTCCTTTTGGCTTCCCTTGGGAACAAATCCCTCGGCAAAGTCCACGCATATCGATGGGCATATGTGGTTTATCCAGGATTCATGGTTTTTTTCTGCCTAAAATCGCTGCTCACAAAGACACGAACCGAAGCGCAGATCAAATGTTTTTTTTCCATCAGTAGGAGCCCAAATGTGCTATGACATCTACACAGGGACGATCCTCAAATGAAGTCTTGGGCGCCCCTCGCGTGTAAATGTCTACCAAAGGGTCCCGTATAATGAATGGCTCCAGCCCTGAACAGGGAACACACTGGTTCCACCACAAAGGGCCGCTACTTTGCAGTGGGGTCCCTTCAAACTCACCCGAGATTCCTGGAACTCCGCCGGTCTGGTTTTTTTGGAGGCAGATGAGATTTGTTGCTCTTTTTTTTTACCCGAAAAGGTGGTGGACCCACGCCCCCGACCCCCGAAGTGACGCTCAAATTCGTTGGCCCGTCAGGCGTCAGGGTCCATGAGCGAGAATTTGGCCGCCTGGGTCCGAGCTTGTGCCGTCAGCTCCAGGTTGGGGGACCCTTATCTTAAGACAGGACCTGGCATCTGGAAAAGTGATGAATCAGTTCCGAGTCAAATGCGGGATTGCGACCCCCCCCCTCCCCATGTTTATAGGTTATTCTTCCTCACGAATGGAACATGCGCGACCAACACAAGCAGCACCACTAGCGAAACCAACACAACCAGCACAACCAGCACAACCAGCACAACCAGAACAACCAGCGCAAACCAGCCAAACCAGCACAACCAACACAACCAACACAACCAACAAACCGGGACAACCAGCGCAACCAACACAGCCAACACAGCCAAAACAATGATCATAACCAACACAACCAACGCAACCAACCAACACAACAAGCACAACCAACACAAACAACACAAACAACACAGCCGACAAAACCAACACAAGCACTAGCACAACTAACACAAGCAACACAACCAACACAACTATCACACTACGAAGACAACATACAACGCACACAAGGGGCCCTACTTGATCGGGTTCTGAAAATGGTAACCGTCAAAACGGATGGCTTCCCTCGCCAGACTGAACACCGCTTTGGAAGGTTCCCTGATTGTTGAGACAGACCCATTTCTAAACACTGAACCAATCAGTTCATAGACAAAAGCAAAGTCAGGGCATTGATGTAAATATGCTGATACTATACACATTGATACACACACACATAGAATATTTTGTACGCGCATCATACATTCGTGCACACCGTGCACACCTTTTCATATCAATCATCGGCTCACTTCGTTGATGCCAGCACGCCTAGGTCAGCGCCAGTACTGCCGGTGAGTGGGTCACACGGCTCGCTGCTGGGGGCGCCCAGGGGGCCCTTGGATTAAGTCACTCCGCTGAGTTCGGTGGCTCCAACTGCTTTGGGTTTCTAGTGGCAGCCAATTTTAGTGGACCATGCTAGTGGACCATTTTTGGGTTTAGCTTCAACCGTTTTTAGTGGCTTTCGGCCGTTTCAGATTTTCTGGTTTGGTTTTTTTGGGTCAGAAGTTTGGACTTGTTCAGGAAGCGAGCCAAAATGGTGGGTTTCCTTTCGGCTTCCCTGTGAGGCCAAGAGGGGTGCGCCAAAACAGTCGACGTTGCACTTTTCACAAAGGCGGCCGCGAAAAGAGAGCCCGCCATGTTTGGTCACGTGTTTCGGACTGCCATGGGTCTTGCCAAGCGAACCACGCGCCAGTCCTTTGTGGGAGAAGACTTATGAGCACATCCCAAACTGGAGCAAACCGGTGTGGAAAAGATGAGGCCTAATTTGTGCCGCTCTCTTCTTCCTTTCAATGGTCACAAACGGTCCAACAAAAAGGCGCGGCCCCCGTTTTGAACCCCAGCCGCGGTTTCTTCCATTTGCTTAAGAATGTTTGTTTATTTAAAGCCTGTTGGTTTTACAGGGAATCTATCACTACTGGACATGTTTTCTCATTTTTTCCAGGGGTAACCAACACTCTCTGTCCCCGAGGCGCTGCAAGAGGTGGCAGTGGAGCACTCCACCTGCGCAGGCGGATACCGTCTTGAGCTGGGTGACCCCTTTCGTGGATGCTACACACATGGCTGTGGTGGTCAAAACCGTTTTGAGATCCGATTTTGGTTGGTAGGTGAATTCACCACCCACTTTAGGCTGTATTTTAGTGGGGATTGGGATGTTCACTGGGGGTACGGGATTTTGACCCATGGCCACATGATTGTCCTTTGGAACCCGGTTGTATTGAACCCCCTTGAACGGCTCCAGCGAACTAAAGTTCGCCCCTCGGATTAAATCATCAAAACCAGGTGCATAGTTAGACAGGTAGGTCTTCTCCCAAAATGTGAAGGGCCCTTAAAATGGAACATTCAGAGCATGTGTATTTTCACAGGTACATGTCAAAGAGAGAGAGATTGATCCCCCTTCCCCCCCCCTCACCAAAAAGAGGAAAGAAACAAACAAATAACTTCTCGTTGTTCGTTTTGGTTTCCCTATCAACCCTGCTGAGTTTCGGCGTTGCAGGCAAGATCTGGAGTACGGTGGAAGAGATGTTTCCGGAGGCACGGACGGGTGGGATTTTGGTCTGGACCCACGCAATGTCCTTCGGTTTTTCCTTCCTTTTGGTCGCCCTTTGAACAAAGGGCACCCTGAAAAACGGTTTCAAGGTTTTGCCTGTGAAAGTGGGTTTCTGCGGGTCCTGTAGGGAGAAACCGGTGTCCCGGTTTCCTTTTGACACCAACCTATAGGGGGGTTCCCTCAAAAATGAGATATATACAGCCATATAACTCGTGACTTGGATGGGTCGGGATTTGGATTTGAAGCCCTGGTTCTTACAGGCAAATGGGGAAGTTCCTCCGGAGCACGTGTAAACCAATATAAGCCGGCAAATAGAGGGAAGTTGACAAAACGCGGAAGACGCCAAACAGAAGAACCGGGCCGAAAGGCTGAAGTTTGGCCTCGAACCTTGAGAAGCTTTGGGGCTTTGGTTGAAGCGATCGTTTCAGGAGCGTGATTTTGAGACACATTGTCCATATCTCGGGTATTAAAATGGAGCCCAGGATAGTTGCCCTGGTTGTTTTTAAGGGTACATTTGGGTGTTTTTGAAAAGGGACCCCTCCGACCCCTCCAAAATGGGTGGTTTTGCTTTAGGTGTCCCTTTAACCCAGGAACCTTGAAAGAAAGACAGACCCGTTTTTGCAACGGATCCTTCTCCTTAACTAGAAATACCCCGGGTTGACCGATGTGCGCCCTTGTAGCTACTCAGGATATCCGTGCGGGGCCCTTTCCGTTGTTTTGGTCCTGTTGTGTGTTTCTGCAGTATGTGCGTTCCCTAGCTAATGCGTATTTTGTAGCATTTCAGTAATATGTTGCATTGCTTGATTCCTCTTCCCCCCTAATAATCGACGCTTGGCCAATTTTGCAACTACCTTCTTTGATGGTCTTGTTCTTTGAGGGCTGGCTGCAAAAGAAAACCGCAAAGTGTCCATGGCACCCGGCTGTTTCGAGGTGGCATTTATGGACGATGCCACGAAGAGAAAGATGCAGGCCCCGGGTTTGTTCGCTTGCATCGGCAAAGCGGGAGCTGGCGACGGGCACGGAAGGTCACACAAGGGCTTTAGCCTTTTCTCGAGAATAGGGCAACATATCCCAGATTTTTAGCGGGTCATTTTCTTTCCTACCTTTTTATTCAAAAGAAAAGATCCCCTCAAAATCAAAGGCCAACAAGGGTGCCCTTTCTTTAGGGAAATCCAGGTCTGGGACCTTGGACCCCAAGCGCGACCGATCAAAACCAAATGGGCGGGACTGTCCATGCGGAGATCCGTTGATCAAAAGTGTTTGGTCGACTCCTTTATGGCGCTCTATGTGATGGCAGGTGTACATGTTTTCAGCCAGAAAAAGGCTTTTGACTATTGGGATAGACTCCAAAGCCCCAAAAAAACAAGGTCTTTGTGACAGGCCACCCTTGTTCTTCACAGGTAACTGGAGGGCAGTGGCCAAGGAGCCAACTTCTGAGTCGGAGCCATATGGCCATGGCCATGGCAGTCTGAGTTCGGTGCTTGTCAGGGCCATGGCTTCCCTGCGAACTGGAGAATGGGATTTGGTCCGAAAAGATTTGTCCCCATAGCTGTCCTTTTTGGTTGTTTTGGTAGAAACAAATCGGGCCATACCTGGTGGTTTAATCATTTACCAGGGCCATCTATTTCCCCTAAAAGGACACCTATGTTTGTCCCTCGCTCGATTCTGACAGATCTCCCAGCCTGTGAAGGTGAGTCATTTGCCGCCTGCGATTGAGCAGAATCGATTTGAAGAGGTCGGAGTCCCCCTGCCAAGCGGGTCCAAGTCACCAGATTTGACAGAGACCCTCATCCACATGCGTGCTTCGTTCAAAAAACACACGGACCAGCTTTCAGGAGGGAGCCACCGGCTACAAATCCCTGTTTCGCATTCCTAGTTAATCCTCAAAAGTGCGGGCTCCTACAAATTGGGTTCCTACAACAGGACCCCTCAAAATGATTTGCTCCCTTTGGGCTTTCCTGCACGACATCCCGCCTTGGGTTTAGAACTGAATCAGGAACGGCTTTCCCAAATGGGGTTTTAATCGTTGCTAGTTCAAGGCAACTCCCTTTGTGCTGTTTGGGTTTGGGTCCAGTGGATTCCGCCAGTTGTTCCGTTGTTTTTTCTTTTGTACTCTGTCAGTACTCTTTTCCCAGGGTTGCTCCGAACCTCGGGGATGACAAAACAACGTGCCATCGACTTCTAAAGTGAACATTCGGTGGGCTTCTCAAAATCGCTTTAACCCAACCGGTGGTGTCCATGTAAACAACTGGTTCGAGGGTAGTTTGGAGGATGTGGGTATGGGTCAAAATCATAATATCAGGGGACATCAGGTTTTAGTCCTTTCTATCTACCAGGGCAAGTCATGTGGAACACCTATGTTTTGACAACACCCAGGTCACCGCAATGATTCCCACGACCTTTGCCCTCTGATCCATGGGATCGATCGGACAGGAGGAGATCTTTACCGAGCTTGAACTGTGGGGCGCCCAAATCGATTTTCTCAAAACGGACGCTTAGCTCCCAAAAAAGATCCACTGCAACCGCTTCAGCTTTTGCTTGTTTGTTCTTTTGTTCTTTTCTTCTTTTCTTCATTTGTTCTTTTTTTGTTTGTTTGTTTGTTTTGTTTGTTTTGTTTGTTTTTCCTGGGGGAAGGGGGCTCCCCTTTAGAATCCAACAAGAAAGGGCACCCATTTTCGCCAATTGGGTTCTCAACCATGCAGCCCTGCCAGAGATACGGACATCTGCAAGCCGCCTTTGTGAAAGGAAGAAGTTGCTTCCAATGGAATTCACCATGCCCATCAAAGCCAGAAATGACCGCTGGATGGATCACTGTGATAGAGGAGGAGCACGGCGGGAATTGCCAAGATTATTGTTGATCACTTTCTGTGATACTCCTTGGCATCCCCTTGAAAGCGCCAAAGTGGTCATGTCACCCTGCCACCCACATGGCTTGGTGCACAAACCGCCTTGTGAAAGGGTTTGGCAGTCTTCCAAAAGAGGTTTGCACGCTTCCGGGATTGTCGGTGGTAGGGTAGATGATGAAGCAGAATCATGGGGATAGGAATTCTCATTCTGGCATCACAGACAGAGCGCGATTTTCCACATGGACGACAGGGACCCTATTGGAAACTCTCACATCATGTCAGCTTGCACTTTTTACCCATTTTCAATGCTCCTTAGAAATCCTTTGTATTTGGCGGCGCCTGCGTTTGACATGGACCAACCTCTTTTTGCCAGAGCCACTGGGCTTGGCAATTGGGTGAACATTCACTCAATGTGACTGCCATAATCCATGCCGTTTGGAGAGTTCTTTTGCCAAAGCTGGGGTAGTACCTGGAGGTTGTCAAACAAAAACAAAGAGGGACCCCACCGAAATTCTGGGTGGCTTCCCTTTGGTTTACCTTGAAAACAGCTCCAAAATTGGCATCTTCAAAAAGACAGCCATATTATGAGCAACATGGCCATTTGAGTGGCGGTTCTGCTACCGGGATCAGTGGGGTAAACGGTTAAGTCAATGCGTTTCTGGGCACTGCTCAGGCTGGTGTTTCCAGAAATCACTGCTGTGCAGAACTGCCACCAGAGTCCTCTCCAGAAGAAATCCATTGCAATGAGAGCCGGCGAAGTAGCTTGCAGGAATGACGCGTGCGAACATCCCTCGTGTTTTGGACACATGAACCACAAGGTAAAACGGAGGTCAAACAAGCAGATCCCCATTTGCCTATCGGATGACCCCAACCTCTACAAGCCTCAGTTTTTGTTTTGCTCG